AAGCAGTGGGTATCAACGCAGAGTACTGGTCTTTTTGTAGAGATATTGTGAGGTGACTGTAACTGAGTCACGAAAGTTCGTAAATTTGCCTGCACTTTTCGCGAATTTGTCAGAAGACTTGCCTTCTTGCTTTTCCAAGTCAAAATCACTGAAAACTGTGCTATCAAAAGGTGCATGCTCAGGCTCCAATCTATAAAGTTCGCCGAGTCACGAGCCTACGAAAACACGTCCTCATGAATTTCGCTCAAAATGTAAAAATCGCGTATTTCGTCGAAATTCCACCCTCAGTGGTTGTATGACATTCTGATTGCATACGCTCACTTCGCCTAAGGGATCCCATTGAGTTGAATATGATGGTAGCGCGTTCTTCAGCTGCTCATTTGAATATCAAGCACCTTCGTAGCTTGAGCTCAGATCCACCTAATTTCCAAATCCAGCACGTTAAGACCATTAACCAATGTGAACAGATTTGATCAGTATGTCATACAACCACTGAGGGTGGAATTTCGACAAAATACGCGATCTTTACATTTTGAGCGAAATTCATGAGGACGTGTTTTCGTAGGCTCGTGACTCGACGAACTTTATAGAGTGGAGGTTGAGCATGCACCTTTTGATAGCACAGTTCCCAGTGATTTTGACTTGGAAAAGCAAGCAGGCAAATTTTCTGACAAATTCGCGAAAAGTGCAGGCAAATTTACGAACTTTCGTGACTCAGTTACAGTCACCTCACAATGTCTCTACAAAAAGACCCTGTCTTCTTCAAAGACCACTATTTTCCGTAAACAGCGTGTTCGAAAACCTCTTTGGGCGAAGTTTCTTTACAATCCAATGTCATCGACATTTTGACCAAAACCTATCGGCGAGCTTCAGGGCGTAGAAGGAGAAAAAATCAAATCACCCAAATTTCTTTGAAAACTTGCTCATAGAAGTTATCTGACCTGCTGATTACGAAAATCACATCTGCTTAGCAGTAGAGCTTCTCATTAGGGTCACTGTGGGCAAAATTTGAGGCAACACGATTTTCCAGAATTCACCAGCTCTTCTATCTTTTTTCAAAAAGATTCTCTGATTGCTTCTTAGCGTTCGACAATCTGCGGAAGCAGCACAATCCAACAGTGCTTAATAGAGTCTTTTATGTTTGATGTGCGCTGCGTTGCGACCTTGTGAACATATGTGCGCAGAAAATTTTGAAAAAATTGAAAACAGAATTTCAAGGACATGCTGTATACGGTAAGATTCGACTTGACAAGATGAACACAAATCTGCTTTCTGATTTCGAAAATGTTAATTCTAAAGAATGTTACGGCTAGTAGAACTTGGAACAGCTTAATTTTTCCGGAGTTTATCAGCTCTTCTATCTCTTTTGAAAGAGAGTCTTCGGCGGCTGTTTAGCGCACGATAATCTAGTGAAAAAGTACTATCGAACGGTGCCCATGGCAGTCTCCTATGTGTGATGGTTGTTGCGTTACACCCATGCGAAGAGGCGTCGGCATGCAAATTCAAGATTATTGAAAACAAGATATAGGAGACAATCTGTACATCAAAAGATTCGCCTTGACGAGCTGAATACAACGTTGTTTTCGGATTTTGAATATACTCAT